CAATTCAGGAATTGTATGACAGGAAGGGTCTCTGTTCACCTGTGTAGGTAATAAAGGGCAGGTGGGATGTCTGAAGGCAGGGAACTTATCTGTCACTAAAGAGTCATATAGACAGGGATTATGAGTACAGACTCTGGAGCCAGGCTATCTGCATTTAAATAAGCAAGATACTTAAATTCCCTGTGCCTCAGTTTCTTCCTGTAAATAACGGGGATAATGGCGTACCTTTTCAAGAGGTACTGAGGATCAAATGGGTCAATATACAGAGCTCTGCTGGATACATGTTAGCTGTTACTACCTCTCACCCGGCGCTTGCTCAGACCCTAGCATTTAGCAACTGCAGTAAGTACCGACGAACAAATGAATTCACAAATGAATAAATAAATGATACTGCCAAATTAAAGGAGGGAAAATCTATTATGTAAGGTATGTTGTCCTTAATAAGGCTTGCAGATCAGAAAGACTCCGTACAAAATAGTTTAAGAAATAGGTTTGATATTTAATGTATGATTCCGATACCTAAGGAATTAATCACTCATTCTTTAACTCTTCTGCATAAATGACCTGCCATTTTAAACAAGCCCAAAGAAAAGACATGAAGAGATCACAATGAACTTACAGTGTATCTCATACCCAGAGGAGGCTGAAGGGGCCCTGCAACCCAAGAGTTAAGCGCTGTGGTGTGGGAGAGGTTGTGATGGCAGCAAACCCCAACCGTCATTCACTCACCCTGCCCAAAACCAACTCTGTGGTCTTCTCCTTCCTTAAATTATACTTCCTCCAAAAAGGGTAAACACAAAAACTGTTTTTAAAAGTTGTTAAGGTTCATAAAAGTAAAACCGATTTGAAAAAATATAGAAGCTACTAACACAGAGCTACAAGAGGACCTGGGGGTGTATTACATATCTAGCCCCCTATTTTACAGAGGAGGCAACTGAGGCCCAAAGATGTAAAGTGACTTGCCCAAACTCACAACTTCAGGATAATGGCAAAGACAGAGGTAGGGCAGGGTGCCCAGATTTCCACACTAGAGCCTCCCAAAGGAAATAATGAGGGAGAAAAAAGAAGAGGTTCCAGGCCCAGAAGGTGGGTAAGGAGTTGGGAGTCGGGGGCAGCAAAGAGTAAGATGATTGTCATGGGAGCCACTAGGAAGGAAATTAAGCCCCTCTGTGCATTTTGGTGGGGGTAGGGTTTCAAACAAAGAGCAATCCAGTCCAAAGCTCCCAGGTTTTGCAGGTGAATCCCCGCATTCTCAAGAAGCACACACAAAGCCCAGTGGCTTCTCCCCAGATGTTTCCATCTTAGTCGAGATTTCAAGGTGTGTGTGTGTGTATGTGTGTGTGTGTGTGTGTGTGTGTGGCCTCGAAGATATCCTCTCTTTGAGGGTTGTGCCCTGGCTGGCAGCAGACGGGGAAGGGCTCTGGCAAAGAGATCCCGAAGAGTCTCAGAGATCAGCGCGGATTCCCCTCCCCAACACACACAAACACACACCCGCTTTGCTCCTTCCTTCCCCTCCCCCACTGATGATCAAATCCAGGTGAAGGGACCGAGGGCTGCAGGGTCGGTTTCCAAAGGCTTCCGCTGGAGCCGCGCGCCCAGCGCGCCCGCTCGTTCCTGCGCACACTCACAAGCACTTACACACGCACAGACGCGCGCGCACTCAGACTCTCACACGCACATGCACACCCTTGGCACCGCCCACCGCAGTGCTCCTCCAGCCCCCGGGAAACAGACAGGCAGCAACATGAATGAAATCTGCCCAGAAAGACTGCATTTCAGCTCCAACCACTCAACCTCTGGCCAAACCGCCGAATATGTAACAAAGTTTTATTTCGCCTTTAGAGTCTCCAGTTACGCTTCTACCATTTCCTGTGGAAAAATGAAGCTTTGAAGTGTCTAGCTCCGGCTTTCGCAGACGGGCAGCACCGCCAGCGCGAGCTCTCGAAAACAAGCGCCCCGGCCCCACCCCCTTCAAGGACAGAACTGCGGGTTCAAACCCACCCAGGACAGGCCTTCAAAACAGTGGGGCGTGAAGAGAGGATGATAGAACCTACTGGAAACGACGCCCTAAACTGACAACCCCCTCTAGAACTGCCCCCGCCAGCTCCATCCTGCCCAGATCCCCAGAGGCGCTCCTTCAGCCAAGTGGTGAGAGCTGCAGCTCCCTGCCAGAGGGAATGGAGAGGCCAAGAGCTGGGAGGCTGGAATTGGGGGCTTTGTCCATCCCGCAGTCCCCACCAGCTGTGTGCTCTAGCCCTCAAAAACTGCTCTGGAAAAACTTGGCACCGAAAGTCTTCCGCACCCCAGTCTCACCACACACACCTCTACGACTGTCTAGGCCGAGCAAGCTCTCAACCATTCAGCCGGTACAGCCGTCAGGCCCCTCCTTCCCCTGTGTACTGAGTGCCCCCCGAGGGCGTGGGGGAAGTGGGAGCATTGGGTTGCTGAGAGCGGAACGCGCCTCCTCCCAAGTCCTAGGGAGCCAAATTCATGCGCCCAGGGAAGTGGCATCTTCAAGGTCAAAACAAACAGTGTTGGGGTGGAGTATATGTACTAAGCGCAAATGATCTCAACCCTGCTCCAAAAAATGGTGCTGGGTTTCGCTCACTGCTTGCTGGAGGCAGCTGTCGCCCGGCCCCGCACCGGGGGCGGAACCTAGCGCTCGCGGACCTGGGACAGCACCAGCGGCACCCGAGTGCAGGAGGGAACAGGCAACCTCCTGTTCTGGCTACCTCCAGCCCGGCCGCCTCCTCAGCGGCTTGGGACAGCAGCGCGTGGCTGGGAAGACGCGGGAGGGGGACGCGAGGCAAACTTGCGCCAAGAGTTGGCCAGGTTGGGTGGGAGGGAGTGGCACCCGCGCAGCCACTTACCGCTGGCGTTCTTCCCGCAGATGAGGTGCTGGTAGGGCTGCAGGAGACCCCAGATCTCCGAGTCGTTGTTGACAGTGTGCTCCAGGGTCTC